CTACTATATGATATATACTATATAATTTGACTTCAGATATATATATTACTACTATATGATATATACTATATAATATATATATATATATATATATTTAACATATATACTATATAATTTAATTTATATAGAATATAATTTATATGTTATACTTTATAGTTTATATGTTTATACTATAAAAGATCTTGATGTTGAAGGATAAGAATAAATGTTGCGCAAGTTATTCAGCGATAGCCTAGTGCGGCCCAATGGTAACGAGGCGCCCCCAGAGATAACGGACTCACTCGAACCCGGGTTCGAGTCCCGAATCCGGGAACCTCGTTCCATTTTTATAACATTTATAAAACGTATTTCAGAAATACGTTTTATATTTATGATATAAATATAAAACGTATTCTTAGAATACGGCTTATAAATAATGCCAAATGTAAAACGTATTTTCGGAATACGGTTTTGAATGAAATATAAATACTTCTTTCTTCCTTCTTTCTTTCTTTCTTACGCGAACACAGAGAGAGAGAGAGTACAGAGCAGAGAGCGAGTGAGAGAGCCAGAGACTTCGGAAAAAAAAAAAAAAAATTCACCGGTGCCGCCGATTGCCGTCGCTTGCCGCCGCACTTCCGCCGCCGTCGCTTGCCGCGATTAGACATGTAAGTTTTGTCGAAAATTTATTCATTAGTTTGTGTGTTTCAATTTGTTAATTTGTTCATTAGTTTTGTTTTCTTGAAAATTGAATGTGTGTTTTAATTTTGGGTTGTTTGTATATATATTTGTTCATTTAGGGTTGTTTGAATTATATATGTTGTTTCAATTTTGGTGGATAAAGGTTAGGGTTAGGGTGATAGATTTGGGGCTTTTTGTCAATTTTGGTGGATTAGTGTTAGGGTTAGGGTTAGGGTTAGTGTTGGGGTGATCGATTTGGGGCTTTTGTCAATTTAGGGCTTCGATTAGATCTAAATGCATGTTAATGATAGGTAGAAAATTCAATTTTCGTGGATTAGAGTTTGTTTATTTTAAAATGCTCGTTAAGGATAGGTAGAAAAACGGTAAATTATAAAATAATTTATTTTTTTTCTTTAAAGAAATTTTATTTATTTTCCTTTAAATACATTAATTTTATGACATAAAATTATTTTGTATTTAATAAATGTTTATAACATATACCTATATATTTATATTCTAAATTATAGGATTAAAGATAGTGTAATTATTTTTAGTTTTATTATTTGTTTAATATGTATAAAATCGTAAAAATAATAATTATTAGATTCTACAAATGACGACGGCGCAGTCATAATGAGTTAGAAAAATAACCAAACTATTTTTTTTGTTAATTAATATATTTATGATATCTTACTCATAAGTTATTAAATAAATAAACAAACATATGTTGTTACTAATTTATGTTATTTCACACATTCAAACAAAACACAATTAAATCATATAAATAATTAGAGTAAATCAAATCGTTTGATTGGTTATTGTTTAAAATTACAATTTATCCACTAATTTTATTTCTTCTTGGAATTGTACATACATATATAATTTATTGTGTATCTATTTTTTTTTTTTTGTAATTGTAGATAATGGCTTCATCTTCGGTCGTCGCAGCCTCAGCGATACAGTATACATCCTGGTCCGAGGGATTCGAGTTTGTTATATCTTCAGTACTGCCACCGATCACGGGCGGTTTTCGAAGATAAACCGGGATATCGTAGCGACACGGTTAAAAACCGTCGCTACGACACTCAGTTATGGAAGGCTTTGCCAAAACAGCATCCGTCGGTTTGGGAGGTGATCGACCGGACCGGTTTTGGGCCCTTGTTGCGAATGGGTCGAGTCCAAACCGACAACGCCGTCATTACCGGTCTAGTGGAAAGGTGGCGACCGGAGACGCACACCTTCCATTTCGATTTCGGGGAGGCCACGATCACCCTCCAGGATGTACAGGTGCTCTTCGGTCTGCCCGTCAATGGAACTGCTTGTTTGGGAGTGACGGAGGATAAAACACCCCAAGCATGGCGTGATAGGTGCAAGGACTTGTTAGGGTTTCAACCCTATGTCGAGGTATATTTTTTTCTATATATATATTTTTTTTAACCTTATGTCCAGTCAATTATATAGTTTTTAAGAGATAAAAAATCACTCGCGGGATGCCCCCACCACCCAAGAAGAGGAAGCGGCTCTTGATTCCGCTAATTGGACCATTAAAGGCCAGTTTTTGAAGGGTTTGGAGTTAGAAAGGGAATGCTCAACACATCTGGGAGATGGACTTCCAGACAGCCGCTACGAGCAGAGGGCGAGGGCCCTTATCCTGTGGTGCCTTGGGTCCTTCTTCTTCCCGGACCAACGGGCGAATGGCGTGAATCTTTACTGGCTACAGCTGCTGGAGGACATTGATGGAATAAAGGGGTACAGCTGGGGTTCAGCGCTCTTGACGGCAGTATATAGAGCGCTGTGCACCTCTTGCAAGGAAGGTCAATGGTGGATCAAGAGCTGTGTACAATTGATTCAGGTAATACGTATTAATATTAGTTTCTTACAATATTAGTTTCTTACAATAGGGAAAAATTATTTGATTCTTCTTTGAAAAATAATATTTTTTTTATTCTAAGTTAGACTACTAATGTTTAATAACAAATTCATATGTCAACATGTGTAGGTTTGGGCGTGGGAGCGTATCCCTCGTATTCGCCCAAAAATGAAGTCCAAGAAAACGCAGTTTGACATAATCAGTGGTTGCCCCTTAGGTGCAAGGTAATAACATTTATTTATATTTTATACGTAGAGTATTTCCATTATCAATATTAGTTTCTTACAAAGTTTTATTTTTTCTTTTTTTTTTTATGTGATTTTGAAGGTGGGTGGGAAAAAAAGATTTGACACATGTAGGCAAAGGAACGGGTCCTATCCGGGATCAGTTGACAGGGCTGGAAGAGACGGACGTAAGATTCTTAATTCTTATTGTTTTATTTATCCTTATTTTTTGTTTTTAATTTTTATAACGTAATTCCTAATTAATTTTTTTTTTTATTTATATTTTTTTTTTTACAGTTCGATTGGCTGCCCTATCAACAGTATCTGGATGTTGATACTCTCCCGAGTGAGTGTACAGAAGATAAACAATTTTGGTTGTACCGGGGGTGGATGTTTTGTTGGAGCATCCGTGAGCTACACTTGCCTGATAGGTCATGCGGCAATTTGGGTGTCGTCAGTCCATCCCCCAAAATCCAATCATTACGGGTGAGCAAGACTGGGCCAGACACCACGCCGGCCAAGGAATGACTGGGCGGGCTTTCGGTGATTGGGCCCTCTTTCATTCACCGCTTACGAAGACATGGGCCGATGAAAGAGAACTACATCTCATCCCAATTGCCCCTGCGTATGACTTCCTGCAGCCAGAGCAGGGATACCTCGATTGGTTTCACAGTAGGACTGTGAGACTCATCAGTAACCCTGGCAATTACGCTGTGTTCCAACAGGCCGGCGGCTATCAGCCATTTGCCGAGCGGTTAGGGTGCGAGGTAAGTGTTCATAATAATTTGTGGTTTTATTATTATTATTATTATTATTATTATTTATTTATGTTGTTTCATACTAATTACTTTGAATTTTATTTTCGGACTTCTGGCCTGGAGGGGGTTTATAACTCCTTAACGAGTATTCAACACTTAATGCCTACATTCCCTCCAGAGGCACAAGCCGCATTCCAACAGTCCTTCAACTTTGCATACACATCTCTGACTGTTGGAGGCCGAGGTCTTACACAAGGGGCGTCGTCAAGTCAAGTTCTATCCCAGGACGACTACATTCCATCCCAGAGGACACAGTCCCACACCGCGAGACATCGACCCGCTGCGAACATTGGTGGGGGTAGAAGACCTCGGCCCCGTGACCGCGAAAATGAACAACGCCCAACCAATCCACCCTCCCCCCAGCACCTCCAATCTCAGAACCTCGGCCTTGAAGAATGTAAGATTTATTTACTTAACAAAATATTATTTTTTGGTCTTTTTTTATTTTTATTTTTTTCCTAAAGTCGAGTTTGTGATTTTTTTTACTAAATGCATTACTCAGTTGAAGAGGACGAAGGAGAACAGAATGAGGACGAAGGAGAAGAGAATGAGAACGATTTTGATGATGACACGCCTCTCGCAGAGCTCCGGAGGGGGGCTCGACTGCGCAAACCTAGGCAACCATTCACTCCTTCGTCTTCATAGTTAGTTTGTGTTTTATGTATTGAAATTTGTGGACATATTCGTGTGTAAACCGTATTTTGATCTTTTTGTATATACTGTTTCTTCTATAAATTATTGTTTTTTATCTTCTTTTATATGTTGGGTTGATTGATATGTGTATGTTGGGTTGATTGATATGTGTATGTTGGTTGAACAGGTTGGTTTCTTCAAATGGATTCGAAAATTTTGTTTTTTCTGCAGCTTAAAACGGATTTTGGGAATACGTTTTATTCTTTTTTGTTTATAAAACGTATTTTTAGAATACGTTTATATCTGAATCAATTTAGGGCAAAATTGAATTGGGGCAAAATTGAATTTGGGGGAAGAATTGTACAAAAAACGTATTTCGGAAATACGTTTTCCGTTTTAAATTATTTTGTCCAACAAAATTGTATTTCAAAATTGTAAAAATTCATTTCATTTAAAACACGTATTGTTAAAATACGTTTTATAATTCGAAAATAATTATAAAATTAATTTTAATTACAAAACGTATTTCGAAAATACGTATTAATTTTTTATAAATAAAAACGTATTCGCAATATACGTTTTTAAGCAAGGTAATTATCTTAATTACGTTACATAATCATATTTAGTGAAAACGTATTTCGGGAATACGGTTTATAAAGAAAAACGTATAACCAGAATACGTTTTATAATTAAAAACGTATTTTCAGAATACGTGTGTTTGATTTATTTCCACCCTTTTTTTTTTTTTTTTTCCAGTTATTTTTGTTTATTTTTAAATAAATAAATAATTCNNNNCCGGAAGGTTGGAGGGTTAAGGCCGGACCCCCAACCTATATATAGAAAACCCAAAAAAGGCTCACAACTTATAGCCAAACAAATGCACACTAAAAATGGATCATAAAATTCGAATTTACAATAATAGATGTCTGAGGGGGAGATGCTGCAGCACTTGCATATCCTTGGAAATATGTCTAATGTAAGCCCATTACCGAAGTTTAGGATCAAAAGAAAAACGAAAAAAAATGAAAGAAAAATAAAAAAGAGAAGAAATTGAGATCAATACTTGTTGACAAAACAAATCCATGGTATGCTTCACAGGTATTTTCTGGCAAGCGCTCGGACTTTTGTGTCGAAATGCGATGATGTGATACGGCTTCCAGGAAGGTAGAGTGGATTCAGAAGACTCTGTAAATGACATTAAGAGGCAGATCTTGTTGAAATCTCTTGAAATAAATCAAATAAAAAGATAAAATTACATTAAATTTGGGACTTCACTAAAAATGTTGCTTGTTATTCCTCTTCTGAGACTAATAAACACTATAGCATCAATCATTATATCTAGAAGTTATATTAGAAAACTATGTGCACTCATGGTACTGAAACTATTAGTATATCGTACATAGATTTTATGGATTACGTAAACAAATGCACCTAAGTATTTTCAGGTAAAATATGCTGCACAAAGTGGCAAAAAAAGTTGAAGAGAAAACGAAGGAATCAAACAATTAAAATCATACATATATAGTTTCCAGCACAATAAGTAAATAAACTAGGAAGATGTGTGGAGAAAAGAATAACACAAAAAATTCTTTTTGATGTAACCACATAATTCAAATGAACAACAAAAAAAAAGTGAGCAACTAACCTTTATATATAGCTCGTGAACCTCTTGGAAGAAGCTCTTAATTCCATCATCATTACGAGAATCGTGAAGCAGCATCAATCGAGTATGTATGACTTTTATTGGTTAAGGAAACAATAAAGGCACATTGGAATTTCGCATTGATGTGTATGAGAGAGAAATATGAATTCAGCAAATAAAACTCCAAAAGAAAAAGGTGGGAAGCATTAAGTACATTCCAAATGGAAATACAGTACTGGAAAATCCCTCACTAATTGTGACATATTGTTACTCCTAATTTATACAGTCCTAACAGTATGCGAACAAGATCAAGTTTAAGCAAGCAAAATGCAAGGTTGCAAACAATATGCGAAATAGGTTTTTATATGCCAGAGGTAGGGGAGTGCCAACCACCAAACAACACATCAATAACCAGTCATATAATTTCATTTATATTTA